CGCCCCGCTTCCTCGCCTCTCGCCTCCCTCCCCCCCGGGTGCTACAGCCTCCCCGCCACTGGTGTTGTCTAGGTTACGCGTCAAAGTGCACGTCGGTTTGTTGCCGACTTGAAGAGGTTCGCGAGTGGCATGGCAACCACCCCGCCGCCGATTTAGCGGCCGCCTCACCAAGCGAGCCTCCGCGGCCGACTTTTGGAAGGGAAAGGGTTCTCGGCGTTGGCCTGGTGATGCACGCGTCGGAGCCACGAACGTAGCCGGGTTCAAGTTTTTGTCACACGCGGTTTCGCCAGGCGCGCTTATCGCACTTCTGGTGAATTGCGTTTGTGGGAGGAGGTGGATGGGGAGATGGATTGTTTTTCTCGCTTTTTTGCTGTTGATTGTGGTGGTTGTGCTGCTGCTGCTGCTGCTGCTGCTGCTGCTGCTGCTGCCCACCAACGCCCCTCCCTTCCCCCTGTCGCGAAACGTGACACCCATGTTCTGCCTCACCCCCCTGTCTTTCCCCTCTTGGCATTGACCCTCTCATCAGCGGCCGATTGACCAGGAAAGCGATCGAGGGGATGAAGAACATATTTGACGAGGTGGGCGTGGAGAGAGAGCGAGAGAGAGAGAGAGAGAGAGAGAGAGAGAGAGAGAGAGAGAGAGAGAGAGAGCCGCTTTGTGCGGAGGTACATTGCCTCCCTGGCAGAGGATGGTTCGGCTATGCAAGTATCCTACTGACGCACGGGGCCTGTCCATGCACTATCACAGGGATGCTTGGTGTCAGGGGGTGGACATTTTTACCATGAGCCTTCGCGAGGATATGAATGTTTTTTTTAGGGGGTGCGGGGTGGGAGTAAGGATACGAAACCCCTCCTAAATCTTATGAGAATTGCATAGATTCGTTACAGTACAATCCAAGGGAAGGCGGTCCCCTTTTTGCGTGCATGGGGTTGGGTTCCCGCCTGAACATCAAAACAGCCCGCCCCCGCGTGTGTTGGTTGCTCGCAGCTGTCCCAACGGTGGCCAGCAGAGCTGGAAGTGACGGCCGACCAGATCAAGAAGATGTACACGAACGAAAAAAGGCGCATGAAGACAAAGGCCCAAAGAGGTGCGCGTTCTTCATATTGTACCGTCTACTTCTGCTTGCTTGGTCTAGGTGTGCACGGGGCGGACTTGTGGAGTATTTGGTCGTTGTTCGAGGGGAATGTCGAGGAACGAGGGGCACGGCACGCCCATGTGTTCACGCGTAGACTTGAGAAAGCCTTGGGGTGACTTTGGCGTATCTGTTCTCGATGGAAAATAATCATCCATGGCAGGATAACGAGGGAAGGGTGGGGGGGAGGGTGTACTCACAGTCGTGCATGCCGTAGTCGTTAGACCAATGACCTCCCATCCCTACAAAGCCGGGACGGAGCGCGCCGGGTGCTCACCGGACCAGGCTCTCACATCACCAAGCGCGAAGCGCCGTGAGGTATTCGGCGAGTCGCATGAAGGGTGCGCTGCATCCTGCTAAGGGTTTTCGGCATCTTGTGCTTACTTCCTTGCGTACGGATGACAGCTGCGAATGACTTAATTTATTTTCTGGTGCTTTCACTTCCAGAGACAGTTGGAAGCACTGTGTAACTGCGTCGAGGGTGCTTGACCATTNGCAAACACCGGGGGGGGGGGCTTGTTTTACAACGTCGGTGCCAAGCGACGAAAACCCAACCCCGATGGCAAACATCGGGGGGGGGAGACGGATCGAAGGGGAATCGTCTGACGTAACCCTACGGTAGGGCAAGCGGCATTCCCGCTCCTTGCTTTATATCACGTAGGCAACGTTTCGTGCCAATACCATGCCATGCGTCATCGATCTGTAAGGTATTTCAACAACTCCGCGGACCCTCCGCCCTTTTTTTTTCTCCGTGCGCTTGTCAACAGAGGCTGCTGCAGAGGCCGCACCTTCAGGGACGGCGACCTCGGCAGGAGGCAGAGCATCGCCTCCCCCTGGTTCCGCCATGTCACCGCCGCCGACCCCAACAGCGACGGCTTCCAGCGCCGCGGCGGCTGGCGCCGTAGGAGCGGCCGCTCAGCGGCAGCAGCAGACACCGACACCTGCTCCCACCGCGCCACCGTCGCCGGCAATGCCGGTTGCGTCGTCGAGGTCTCCCGTGGCATCCGAGGCGGTAGCGGCGGCGACGTCAACGGCAGTGGTGGGGGCGGTACCCGACGGCGGCGGCGGCGGCGGTGGCGGCTCAGGCCCGACTCTCGTGACGATCGCGCCGACGATGCCGGCGGAGCCCCCCCGAGGCGTGAGATTTGACGCTCCGCCCGCTTTCGATCATCGGGCTTTCAACGAAGATGTGGCGGAAGAGGAGCCTCCCGTTACGGTGTGGTAGTAGCTGCGCCTGACTCGTATCGTGTGGTCTCGGCTTCTGTCCGAGGCGGTGTCAAGCTGTCTGTTTTGACTTCCCTCAATTTTCTACCGTTTGCCCGCTGCGGTGTGTGACAGTCCCGTCGATAGTTTAGAAAGGGTAGAAACAGGAGGGGACAAGAGGGATTCTTGCTTTGTCGGGGCGACTGTGCGGCCGCAATCACTGTAGGACCCACAGCGTGCATCCAGGTCCCTGTCTAGATGGATGGATAGATAAGATCCGACAAGGACACCAAAGTGTCATCTGTGTCATGAAAACAAAAATATGTACATTTCCCGTGGTGTCTACGCTCGTATGCTTCCTGCCAAAAGGGCAGCGCAATCACAGCGTTTTGTCGCGGTGTGGTGGTTTGACAGGACAAAGCGGGTAGGTCGGCACAGTACCGGGGGGGG